CGACATGATGAATAGCTGGAAATAAACAGCCACATTGGAAACTGCGTAATCGTATTAATATGCAAATTGTAGTATTGGCATCATATAGTCACGGAGCCTTGGGGCAGATAAGGTCTATGTCCCCTGACCTCTGTTTGACCTGGCTCGTTTAGCTATTTCTGACTAATATATATATAATATAAACACTGGTTATATATTCCCTAAATAGCTGCTCGACTATTGGTAATATAATCAACAAATGCTCTTAAATTAAAGTGGATTAAGTGATAATTGCATATTTCAATATGCAATGTTTAATAAATAAGACCTATAAGCATTGCCTCAATATCCTGGTTTGCTTACCAACGAGTTAAAAATACGCAATAATAGTTGTGATCGTGCCTGCGAGGCGAAAAAAAAACCTTATCACCTACAGTACAGCAAGCATTCTGTTTTAGATGTGACTGTGTATGATATGGGTATGAACGACGACTCACACAAGTTACATAATGTTCCAACTGACTGGACATCCTCCACACCCATGGTAAAAGATACGACTTCTGGATACAAGATGGCAGCACCGGAGGACAGAGCCTCTTTAATTAAAGCTGATTACCACCACACCTGCCCACTCACAGCCAAAGAGCCCACTACCTTTTATTATAGGCTGTTTACACTTAACACATTCCCGCGGATCCACGAGTCAGCTCGTGGATAGATTATACTGTGTAGTATATAAAATTTCGAGGTATTTTTGCCATGTAGAAAAACAAAAACAAGGTCATACCCCCACAAGTGTAAGCGTTGTCACATTTCTTCCGGAAAAATAGTAACTTTCGAATGATATCATAACAAACTCGCCGAAAATCCACCGTGCGGTGCGGGATTTGAGACGAAAATGCACGAAATGCCCGTTTTTCCCTTGTTCATATCAGTATATTATTATGAAGGGAACAATTTCATACTATTTGAACGTGTAAGGATGAGATAACACTCATGCAGATAAATGTTTGGTTAGCTTTTCTGCAAAGCAAATGTGGTAAATCATAAAGTAAATATGCGGTAAAAACGCGAAAATCCCAGCGCAGGGCGGTAGGTGACATTGTTAACACCGGCAGCGTTGAACGTGTTAAACATGATATTTTTAGCTGTTACAATCAGTGCACATGCCACTTGGCAGGCAACAATAGAACCAATCCCTGTCAATCATCACACAAGCTCCTGTTGTGGTAATGAAGCAGCTTCATCAACAAGTCCTGCGCGCAATCTCTTGACGTAACTCCAACGGAGGATTAGCTCACACTCGCCCCGCGCTTTCTTCCGCACGATTCCGCCAGCTTCGACAAAGGTTGTTTAATACGCAGCGACGAACTGAACGTTCATCATCATCATCATCATCATCATCATATCCATCATCATCAATCGTGACGACATCATCATCGAAGACAAAAAACGTTGAATTTTGTATAGTTTTTATTATAATAAACATTGTGTGCAGTTACATTTTACACAAACGAGAGTTGGCTACAGAGGACAAAAACTTACTTAGGGACCGCCCGATCTGCTGATCGTCTTACTACGCACGACTCGCAAAAATGCGAGTCGACCTCACCACTGATACACACGACCCATGATCGAGGTCACAGATGCAGGCCGGGTGGATGAACTCTCACTTCACTCTCGCGATGAACTGACTTCAAACACGGGTTCTCGCGTGAAGCTATATAAACTTCAACGCTGTAAATCGATAAACACATGAACAATTCGACCCGTCACACGCCGCGCCAACCCACCCATGGCCGCTATTTCATTTAAAATATTTACAATCCAATCGTTTCGTTTATATCGATGCAGTGTATTATGGTGTCACATGATGCACATGTCACGGTTGTAGATAACCCAGTCCTCACACCACAGATGGCAGCAGCAGCAGCGGCAGACAGCAACAGCAGCAGCAGAATGCCACCAAATCTTAGATTATTCAGCTGCTGTCATAACTCATAAATCATCTTCTATGGAAAAAGTCTACAGCTAGCTAGCAAAAGTGTAACTATCAAATCGTAAAAATTTGAAAAAAACCGACTCCTGTCCCTCCCCCCGGTGAAACTCAGGCACAATTAATACGTTTCCATGTTGGCTACAAGCAGGTACTCATCTCAAAGATTTACAAAAAACTCAACACCATGCCCACACCGCTCGACTCTACTGGAATAGATGGGCCGATATTGTCGCAAAACAAATCCCGCAAAGGAAAAGATGCCACGGACATTTGAAACACGAACGGCTAACGCTAAAATCACAATCGTTTTACAAACACACAAAATCCGCGCCCTGCACAGCCACGATCGAAAACACCGCCGTCTAGCTGAGCACAGACATACCAGTACAGACCTGCACACACGTGCACTGCATTGAAATCAAGGCAGTGGTTTCCGACCAACACACACACACACACACACCACACACGCACCTGCTTTCAGCAGAATAAACTGAGCCGCGAGTGCCACCTGTCAAGACACGCCGAAGAGCGATGGGCGAAACACGCCGAGGATGCGGGGAACACGCCCACACCCCCCACTAACCTTCGACGCATCGCTACCTCTGTCCACGCAACGTGACTCAAAATTCGCTGCACTGTATCGCCCCACCGACGGCCAGCCGTGAGCACTACTGCTCGGGATATGTGGGACACGTTACCAGTATGGCGTAGGAAACGAGGCAAAGCTGTGCAGCACTTTAGCAATGCAGCCACATCGAAATCGGCAATTCTTCGCGATCAGGGGGACGAAGAGAAGAATGAGGCAACTGATGAAAAGCAGCTGCCTGACGGTGAGATATGGCAAAGGAATAGTAGTGAAGCGAGTTCAGAGGTCAAGCTCTCTAGCCGATGCGTCGCCGCGGTAACGTTCTCCCTCGCGTTCGTTCCCGCTCCCACACAGAATCAAACGTGTCGCGCCCCCCCCCCCCCCCTCGCGCCCCCGGCCGATGTTTTCGCGGTCAACTGCGAATAAAAATTAGAACCGAGCCGAATGTAACAGAAAATGGACGAAACGGGATGAGCTGTTGACGTGGGGAGGCGGCGGCTGCGGGGTGGCACCGTGGCAGGCCGTCAGCGGGGCGTGGCGCTGTCCGCGTGCAGACGATGTGACTTGAAGGTGACAGAGATGATGCGGCGAGAAGCTTCGATGTGATGGATGAAGGATGACGATGACGACGACAACAGACGCTCACGTTTATAGAAGCCGCCTCCTGTCTGCTCCTGATACACCTCTATCACATCCTCATTCTCCATCTCCAACTGTCGAGAAAGCAAACAACGACGTGTAAATATCAAATAGTAAGGCGGTTGTTTTCAACAGAAAAGCAACACAAATAGATAAAGAAATAGATATATACACCCAACACCAGTGTTACAGACAGTTCTGATATATTCCCCGAGAGATCTTTATGAAGCAGTGCTGCTTTAAGTTCTATTTTAGCACTGCGCAATTATCACCCGATCTATTAGTACCTGCTTAGGTGTGTCGTCATCATTTATCCGTCGTCCATCAAATAGGAATCTCAAGGAACTAGCCGGCATGCCCTACACCAACGAAACCAAGATAAACAATGATCTAAGTACTACTACTAAAGCAGGGTCTCCAACCCTGTGAACTCCAAATGCGGAATGTTTCTGGCGGTGATGAGTAACTAGTGGCGTATTCAGAATTGATGGACAGGGGGGGGGAGGGCGAAATGTACCTTGGCTGCCGCAGGCAGGCCACGTGCCGTAAGCATGCCAGTGCTAGCGGGGTCTGGGGGCATGCTCCCTAGAAAATTTTGAAATATTTAAGCATTTTCCTGCAATCTGCGCATACTGTGGCCATATTCTCATGTCTGATGACACTAATCTCAAACCCTACAAGTTAGGATTCAAAACACTTTTCATTCCTCCGTGCCCCACTTGAAAGTCTGTCTTCATACCATATGCAATAGCCATGACTAACACTGAGTTTCGACCTCACAAGTACAGGACACATTTGTTTATATTCGTTCCTGAATTTCTGTAAAAGTCAGGGTTTTTTGGTTGGCAATGTGGATGCCATTCTCCCCATGTGTTAATCTGATTAGCAGACAAACTACGCGACACCTTGCAGACAGCGCCTGTCTGACTACCTAACTGTCTGACTAGGCTGTTCCATTTACCGTAGACATGCCAGATACAAAATGCATAGAAACACATTATAACAGTGAGCGATGGTAGGAGGGGAGGGGGGTGCAAAGCTAAGATAATGGCAGAGAGCACTATGAGTGTGTATTTCCAGGAAACGACTTGGGCAGTGAGGGCTATTAATAAACTTGCTGCATCTCCACTGCACCAGCGCGTGGCCAGTGCTCAGGCACCAGCTTAAAAAAAAACAATGTGTCCAAGCAAACAATCAGTGCAAATTTTGCACAGTGCAACTGAAATGAGGAAATAACCTTGCCGCTGCAGAATGCGAAATTAAGGTTAGAAATCGTAATGATTCGCGCAGAATGAGGAATGGTTGGAGACCCTGCTAAGTGTGAAAGAAAAAGTCATGATTGCTGATGTGAGTAAACTCGGTTTCTAAATGTGCTTTTTAAATTTGTTTGTGAAGTATTGGGTTTGAAGATCTTCAACGTTGTAATGATACCGATTAACTCTTCTTCCTCCTTCAAGCGGGTTTTCGAGAAAGCACATTGATGCCCTATATATGGCATTGTGCAAGATCCAGATAACTACATACCACCTCTCACTGTAAGACTTCTCACTTTCCAAGATTTGTCGTCATCTTCACCTTGAAATGAATCTCACCTTGGTCCTACAACAACAAGCAAATGGAAAAGACCTTACAAGACTACAGTGACACAAAACAATAGTTAATAAATACATAATATAACGTCACAATATTTATATATTAATGCCTGTTGTTGGGGGCACTATGCTCTCATAGTGTTGCTTTGGGAAGGTATAGTGCCCGAGCGGTAGGGAGGGCACTATATTCCTGCCCAAAGCAACACTATGCCAGCATAGTGCCCCCAACAACAGGCATTAATGTTTTAGTGCATCACATGACTTTGCAATCTACTCGGCAAAATGAAGTGAATAAGACAAAGTTTCTTAAACGAACAATTTCAATTTGTATTAAACTGTCTACGTCTCGAATTTCTAACACCAGCAAATAGTATATTTATGTGTTATTTGTACAAAATAAAATGTATGAAAATACAATTAGTGTTTCTGTTTACTTTTCATGCTTATATACCTTCTTTATACACCCTAATTTGCCGGTGCATTCGATGAAACAAAACGCTCCACACACAAACACAACCACCATTAATTCGAAACTCTTGCGTGGCGCCCAGACGCAGGAGATTCGTGACGTGACACAATGGCGTTATAATAACAATGCTCGCGCAAGCAATAGTGCCCGCTCAGGTGGGCACTATTGTTTCATAGTACCTGCGACGTTATCCAATGGAATTTCAACGATTTATCACGTGATGCACTAATAGTAAATACAGATTAAAAAAGGACGTATTCACATGCACCAATATACGAGTAACCGATTGTAACCGATCATCGGTTACTTGGGTCCAACCGATGATCGATTACGAAATTACAACCGATTGACAACACTATTGAACACACATTTATTCACACATACCGATGATATGTAAATTTGTTTTTATTTAAGCTGACCATGTTATAAAATGAATATTAATCCGAAAAACCCAGTTTCCAATAAAATGATACACAACAGGTAAGTTTATACACTCAGCTGCATAAGCTTTTGTATGGTGTTGCATATATATACACATTCACCAGATAACAACAGCACACCCACTACAGTAACAATAAAAACAAACTATTTTCAGAACTATGCCGATGTTTATATTGTACAATTGACGAATGCATTACGTGGAACCATGTTCAATTGCCTAAAAGCACAATTCAGCACATGCACATCCACTCTCTGCCAATGTTCTAGAAATCAACATGAACTCTCATTCAACTTTACAAATATCTTTATTTCTAAATGAACAAGCTCACAAATGCGCCGTAAACACTAGGCGAAGCATGCAAGAAGATAGCGCATGCATTTTACTGCCTACCTGTCCAATTACTTTCAACTTGATGTACTCTGACCCCTGGTCACCTCCACCATCCTGTTTAGATTCCTAAAAATAATATATAACCTCGTAAAATATTAGTCTTCAAAGTCCAAGAACTATAACGAAGACGGAAAGAGACAAAGTTGATCCAATAGACAGATCAACACTGTGGATCACAGTAGACAAAACCTCAAGTTTGCAACTAACTAATGAAGAAGGGAGAGAATTCCAATATGAAATGACAGAGACAAAGAAGCTAAACTTAAAAGGATCCCTTAAAGATTTCAGACATATTGAGAATGATCCAATGTGTTAACAAATCTTCCATAGTTATGCTAGGCAGAGTACAGACTATACATACATTGGACTAATTGAACACAGTTGGTAACTGATGACGTGATGGAGCCAATACTGAAGTGTGACTATTTGTTTTTTCTTGTCCCAGTTTACCCTTTTCACAGAGAACTTCAAGTTCAACACTTCATGTCTGTTACTTTGGGGACAAGGTGAACCATCTACATTGGATGTGCTAGTTTACCTAGTGCTTACACTGCATTTTTAAGCTGCGTTGTGAAAAACATACTTACTGGGTTTATGATTCACCAACAATGATACTGACACTGATAGTGATAGTGACACTGTGCCAGAGCACGACGCAGTCAGTGAGTAATTTGGTAAATAGTGAACCGAAAAAACCAATCCCATACTGATTAGCATATGGTTCCAGTGTCACAAAGTTCTGATTTGATATACACACTGTAAGATGTACAGACGACAATTTCTTCACACGTCTGGACATCGCATTAACGACAATTTCGGCGAATGAGATTAGAAACGCAAAACAACGAACGCCATAGATAACACTGAAAAGTAAAGTAAATATTATTTGGCCCTTAGAATAATTGTTGCATATGTACTGTTCTGAATTCTTTCATAGTTAATAGTTCATCATTGCTGCAGAGTTAGCTAGCGTAAATACACGTACTAACAGAGATAATAGCAAATATTGCTATGAAACGCAAGACAAAGTTACCTGATCAGACATTTTTGTTTCCACGCTCTGCACATCCGGGTACTCTAAGACCCTTCGTAGGCGATTCGTCGTGAATTTACGCGAATAAACGCTACTTTTAACATAATCAAAAATACAATACAGACAGAAAAATATTCGCATACAATATAAAAAATTAATATTTTAAAAATAACGATACCGCAGTAGTTACTGTGATGATGCAAGATGCCAGATGGGAATTATTCAGTGGAATTACTGTACGTAAAGGTCATAGGTCAACTACGATGGCATGATGTATCGCGCGAGTATTTCAACTACTGAGTCGACGCAGAGCTGTAGGAGGAATAGGGAGTGTGAGTAACGCCACGCTGGCACGAGAGCGTTGAACCGGCGAGTTTATCAAGTTACGTTATACGTGTGAGGTGTGAGCTAGCTGGGACGTGGCGTTTTATTCTGTATCTCCAATAAACAGGTGAGTGAGTGTGTTTACTGTGTTCGTTACGCATAACCAGTCAAAACCGTCAGAATACGTTGCTGTGCGTATGTTGTTGTTGTTGTTGTTGTTGAACTTGTTGTTGGCTTCACGCCGACACCGGTTATTTGTTGTTGTTTTGCTCGCTGCGTACAGAACTATCCACACTGGATAGCACTAGTAGTAGTAGTAGTAGTAACGTGAACAAATCAATACTATACGCTGTAGAGTTGTAGCTTTTCGCTCCAGCTACATATGTATGACGTAGATGTGTCACTAATTACCTCCGCGCAACGGAGGTCATGTAATCGGTCTCGTGTGTGTGTTGGTGTGTGTGTGTGTGTCCAGTCCGCGCAGCGCGATCGATAGTATCGATGATAGCGCGTCGAGTCAGCGAGCGGCGCGTCAGCAGCAGGCGAGTGAGTCAGCAGCAACCACCAGCGAGCGGCGAGTCAGCAGCCGCCACCAGCGAGCCAACAAGAGTAGGGTTACAACGCGAGCTTATTTTCCTTGTGGTTTCCGTCGTCAGGTCGGCCGCGCCGTTGGGAAGCTGAAGAACTTCATCATCGAGCCGTTCGTTCCGCACGCGCCCGCCGAGGAATTCTACGTCGCCATCTACGCGCATCGCCATGGCGACACCATCCTCTTCCACCACGAGGGCGGCGTCGACGTGGGAGACATCGACGCAAAGGTGGGTCCGTGGCGTGGTCCGGTGCGCAGGCGTGTGGCGAGCCGCGAGCAGAGTTAATGAATTAAAAGTGGATTTGTGTTTGTATTTTATGTTTATCGCTCACTTTGTAGCATGCTAGAAGTCGAGTCGAATGAATTAAGAGTGAATTCGTGTTTGCATTTAATATTAATCGCTAACTTTGTAGCTTCGTGACATTGGCTAAAAGGCTTGTGCGGAATCTACGTGTGGTGGTGCAGTGGGTCTGCATCCTGTGGGGAGCGGTCCAAGTCATTGTTAGTTGTTACGCTTGGGAATTAAAGATAAATATTCTGTGTTTTAATCTCTCGCGTCTGCGCACAAGTTTGGTCTCATCAGGTGGTCAGTGGTGACGGCTTTATGTGTATTTACGTGACGTATTGCGTGACCTGTGACTGTGCAAGGTTACCTGACTATGACCTGTGACTGTGCAAGGTTACCTGACGTGCTCTAGGCAGTCTAGTGGGTAGTCTGTAATGCTCTATGTCTGCATTAGCAGTGGAGTGAATGCTGCGTCTGCAATTCCCATGAATAAATAATCGAATAAATGTATTTGACGGCTGATTTTCACTTTGCCTCGTTCGATTCCGTCAACGATTTATTCTGTTACCGCAGCTTCTAAAACAAACTGTATCTTTCGATTTTCCGTTCCAAAAATCAAGGCGCACGTGTAGCTAGCTAGAATACGTGATCCCTACAAATCCGAGGTAATCGTTAGTACAGAAGCGTATCATATTTTCCTTCCGCTCTATAACTTGGCCCCTAATGGTCCTAGCGCGACCAAACTTCGTATACTTACACATCTTGGGGAGAACACGGGGGATACATGTAGTTGGCGACAACTGCCCTTTCTAGTTGTATCTATATCGACGTATGCGGGGCAGCAGTCGGCTGTACAATCGTGCCGCGAGTCTCCCCCCCCTCCCCCCTTCGCCACGTCTCATTGATCATGTTTGCATCCGCTTGCATGCCGACAAATTCCTCGATGCAAGCGTCGCTCTCGCTATATTGATTGCGATGCCGAGGATGCTGGTTTCTCCTCAGCCTCCTCCTCGTCTGCGTTTTCCCGAGGGGTGGCATTCCCGGCTTGCGACGGTCCACGCGTTCGATCCGTCGCGTTGATAAGAAACCTGTTTCGATCTCGAGTGCAAGCTCGCGTGTGTGCCCTGAGCTTAAGTCAGATCTCGTCTCAACTCTACCACGGGGCACTTTTCGCTATGGCGGCACTTTTCGCTATGGCCCTTGCCACAGGGTGAGTGAATGTCCCAGGAATTTCTCGAGACACGTGCGGGTTTGCGTTCGATGGTGCATCGGTCCGACCGATTTTGTTTCGTAGGGGGAGGTTAGATGGATACGTATTGTGTGACTGGGGCCATGTAGTAATAAGTGGTGGCTCTTGTAGCATATCGTTTTAGCATTGATACGCATGATGTGCTACGTCTAGCTGGCTGTATTTCATGCTACAGTACATCAGCACATTTAAATGTCAAATGATAACTGATCAAAAATGGTAGTTGTTTGTTACGCGTTATCATGATGTAGAAGATGTGATTTAACCACTGCTAGGGTAAAGTACAGCCATAATAAAGCCGACCGACACATTGCCTTGAAATCTAAAATCTAAATTGATTGTTCTAGCTGGGTGGGTGATTGTGTAATGTAAACAATGTAAACAGTGCCAAAGGTCTCCTTTACACACTGTAAATGTGTAATCCGATTGAGTCACTCCTGAATGTGTGTGGGCTTGTCTGGAAACCGTAACTGTTTCCAAAGCTGGCATGAGCTTCAGTAAAATTATCTGTTGCCTGCTCAAGGGGAGGGAACGCATCGCGTGGAACGTTATCTTTTTACAGGGGTTGTCACATTTGCAGAGCTTATGTCAAATGTTGTGGTTGCTCTAATTGATTGCCCGTGAAAATCGGCTGATGTCCTCAAGCTGTGGCTTCCTTACCTGATTTTCCTCTGTTCTCTTTCCATGAATTTCAAATTTGTGTTTGTATGTTTCTCTGTATTACATAAGTGTGGATAAAAAGGAAAGAGTTGCCCCCATTGGTGTCTCTGTGTTGAAGCAAACGTTTTCCCTGGTGTTTGTACCTGTACCAACTTGTACCTGTTGGCAACTTGTACCTTGAAGGCAAGAAAGCCTATTCATAGACCTTTCTTGTTAGACTCTAACCCGTGCTTCCGCTGACCCCATAAAACGCCAACCCATGATCCCCTGCCTCGCGAGACCCCACCCCACGATTCACCTGACTTGCAGGAATCCACTCCACGACTCCCTGCCTCGCGAGTCCAACCCCGCGAGTGTCCGCCGTCTCACCTCGCGGTCTCTCCCTCGCCTCGCAGGTTTCTTGCTGTTGCCGTGACGACGCGCACGTGAGACAGGATGTCGGCGAAGGCTGTGCGGGAGCAGACGGGCAAGGCGCTGCTGGGAAAGTATCTCAGCCATGGCGTCGTCCCTCGCTTCGCCGTCGTTACCGCGGCGACCGAGTGGGACCAGCTGACGCGCGAACACCCGTGGCTGCTCATGGAGGTGAGTTCTCGCTCGTCGATGCGGAGACGCGTCGGTGGATGTCGTGCTTTGTTGCGTGCTTCGATCGGCGAAGATTTGTCCGCGACATACGTTAACTTGTTTTTGATCGATTTTGCGTGTGGGCTTTAGAAATTAGAAGCCGTTCGCAATTATCAGAAGCGTGGAAAACGTATGGTGGGGGAGGGGGTCTGGGGCCATTGTACAGAAACTTGTTAGACTTAGAATTATTAGATTTAGATTAGATATGGATTAGAATTATTATTTCATTTTAGATTTTTTAGATTTAGGAAATGCAATCAAACCTGTATGACGGACATGTAAGGAACACGCTAATGTGTCCTACATAGACAGTGCATGTGTTACATAGAGGGGAATAGTGACCCAGGTGTGACTTAATTTACTTGTAAGTAAATGTTGATTTGTACATATATCTATCAAATGAGTAAACATCTTGAGTGAGTGTGGAGGGTGGGGTATTGGGAATGTGTGTACGGTTTGTATGCTTGCATACATCATGTTAGCATCACAAGAAATGGTGAGCTGTGTTGGCTTTCATTAAAAGAAAAATTATTCATCAGCCATGGTAAAATAATAACTGATATTCGTGCTTATAAGCTGAAAACTACTGTAGCGATAGTTAGTGGGATAGGTTGATTTTTTTTCGATTTATAGACAAATATGTCGTGATATCTTGCGATGGATTAATTCATGATCTGCCGGTAAACCTCCAGGTTTTATACTCTTGGACTGCTATTGATTTCACACCCTGTACTTGTTCCTTGCAACCCTGTACCTGTCACAGTATATATAGCGACCTGGAAAAACAGAGCACTTCCTCATTGAAGCGTTTCTGTACACATGTCGTGTCCGGTGTACGTGACTAGCACGAGTGATTCAATCTGCAGGTGCACACGTGTTCGTCTGCGGGTTTTATTAAAGTTACTACGTCACGAATTTTCCATGGTAAAATTTGTTTAAAAAAAATTGCCATTTTTTTACATTAAAAGTAAGAACTAACGGGACTAAACGTATCGTCAAATTCTTACCTGATAAGATTGTTTCTCAACGAGCTAAAAATCCAAAAAACCTGGACGATTTGATATTAGTGTTCATAACATTAATTGCTTGCTATGGGCTATGTATGAGTCACGAATGTATGTTCACATCGAACAATATATAGTAAAATAAGAAATATAACTATAATGCAGCAATTTTACCATAAAAAGTGAACAGAATCACTTATATTTTGTGAAAAAGTGGATTTTTTTTTTTTACTATTTACGGTGACGTAATCACTGCCCACGGCAATCATTATACTTACCTGCGTACAGGAATTCCTGTTAAGAGAGAGATTACTATCAAGTTTTAACTGTGTAGATGTTAATTCCTAGTACAACGTATTACCGATTTCTTAGCTAATAGCACATTATTCATTATAGATACAGTAATTTAACCCTACCGTGTAGTAGTTATAGCAGTAGTAGTAATAACAGAAGTAACCCCACTCTCATTGGTTGCGTTATTGCATCTAAGCAATCGGGAGGTCTATGCGGCATGCAGATATGCAAATACATGCAAATGAATGTGCACAAAGTTGGCCATGTTATCTGTTAATGAAGTGGATTCAACTAGATTGATCAGCACGGTCCCCAAATTGTCATCGATTCAGCTGGATTCGTCGGCCTTTTGTATGGATTTGATACAGCTCTCGTGTGCATCCGCTCCCGCCGTTTCCTGATTTCGAAGTCAGTAGTGAAACAGTGGTGCCGGCTCTGACGATTCAATGTGGGAGTGTACATGGGGAATGCGCGAAGGGAAACCTTTCGTGGAGCTGCTAATGCTATACGTGTGTGATTCGTACACAACTCAAACTGTCTGCATTCATTCTATATTAGGTCAAGTGTTCTTATGTGTGTGATTGAGCTAAAATTCATTATATTTTATACTTAAGACAATTAATCATGTTTTATCTGCAGCTTTTCTTTCGAGGACTGTGAAGAGTACACTACTTTACGCACACACATATATGCACACATGCACACACACATAATTATAAAACTGGATAATGAATGCTACAAAAAAAATTTAATTATAAATTGTATCAAAACCTGAATATAATGTCAACTCACAACTCATGGTATAACATTAAGCAATAAAATAACGCGCACACACAGTCATGTGTATAATTATTTGTTTGTCAGAAACTGGTCGTTAAGCCGGACCAGCTCATTAAGCGACGCGGGAAGCTGGGACTCATCCTCGTTAACTCTGACCTCGCCGGGGTCAAGCAGTGGATCGCCGACAGGCTGAACAAGGACATCACAGTAAGTGCTGTAACGTTGGAATGAGCGTTCACGTAGAAATGATGAAGTAGATCCAAATCCAGAACTTGTGTGGTAAACTGTATAACCTTTAATATCTTACACACATCACATCTCCTTACACACAGACAAAGACCCGCGCACACGCACGGTCGCGCGTGCGCGTACTCTCGCGACCAGAACCAGACTCCTCTCCCCTTACATCTCTCTCTATATATTCCCCCCAAAATCCTACAAACATACTCCACGCACATCTACCCATTCTCCCAGACCGCGGCCTACCCCAATTTCACTATGACCCTAGAAACTGCCTAACCTAAAACCCGCTTATCCAACTCCCTGTAACATCAATGCAGCCGACCAATATGCGCAACGCTGCGTCTACGCAGACTAACTGCTCACCCTCGCTGACTAATTCATGTAACACGTGCAAAAGACATGTTACAGTGCACGCTCGCACGCGTATACCCCATCCTCATCATGGCAACCACCGCTCTCATCCTGAGTCCCTCATGGAGGCATTGTGAAACCTGCAACATGTGGCTGTGCATCTACGTGACTGTTATTGTGACTGTGTAAAATTTCTTGCCCAAGGCAGCGGCTATACATCACTGAAAACGCACGAGAGCGTACGTGCATGTGAATTGAATATAACATTTTATCAGGGGTTAATATTGACAAAGACAATTGTTAATATTAACCCCTGATTTTATCTTATTATGTGAATCAGTTTAACAAGCTGATATTCGTCTGTATTGGCGTTCCTGTTTGATAGAAGGCTAATTGGACTGTGTAGAGCGAGTACTCTGCAGTGTTGACTCAGGAGTGGCCTGATGCATGTATGCCGTAGCAGCCGATATACTCGTCTAGTCTGACCACTGAGAGCTGCAAGCTTATCTGTAATTCGTGATCACTATCTGAGTATCTGGAGAAACACAGATACTGTGGCGTGTAGGGGAGTGAGCGGTGGCCCAGGAACACAGATATATATATGTGGAGTGGCCTGATCATCACCTGATCGGGAAAACACGATATGATACACGATCATCATCATACGATATACATATATACGATATTCATGGTGTGATCATCGGAATCTTGACGAGTCAGCACATATATAGTCACACATGGTCCGCATGTGCCGTGGTGACTGAGCTAGGGGTCCGGGGGGAAGTGCGCTTGAATTCAGGGAACTGGCTGTGTAGGCGAGAGACTGGGGTACTGCCGAGGGAAGTGTCGAACATTCATTCAGTGGAGGTGGGAGGCATAATTAATTCGGGAGAGGAGGGAAAGGTGGTTCATTCAAGGGAGGAGGCAGCAGCATGTCCCGCGCGGCAAACATTAAATACAAACGACGTACATCAGTTGACAGATAACCGCTGATACAGCCGATAATGACCTGTGAGCAGAGACTGAGAGATGACAGACTGAGCCGACCGTTAAACGCTGCAGCCTTGTCAGACCCATGAGTGCGTGTTGGCTGGTTGTTTAGAGATACGGCGTCGGCAATAAGCGGGTTCGATCCAGGGAGCAGGCAGCTAATGCTCGTGAGAGTAATGAGGGGGGGGGGGGTTCGATCAATCCCCGTCCTTCGTTCATTCCTGCACGCGGCAGCGCAAAGTCTCTGTGTTTGTGTATCTATCACTCTCTCTCTCTCTTTCTCTCTCTCTCGCTCTCTCTCTCTCTCTCTCTCTCTCTCTCTCTCTCTCTCTCTTTCTCGCTTATCTGTGGAGAGCAGGAGAGAGCGATGTG